TTTCCATTAAAAGACCAGACTATAAGTGGGGTTCTGTGCAAGATCAGGCATACTCAGGTATCTGTAATGATGGCATACTCAGCTATCTCTTCAATATAGCGATGAATTAATGCAAGATTTTTATGCACGAAACAAGCATGTAAGGGATTACAAGTGGGTTATTTATGTTATACTGGTTTTGTTCATCACTTGTTTTCTCCCTCTCTTTTGGTTCTTGTTTCGGGTATTGATATTTTAAGGTTATTTGTGGAGTTGAACTCCTTAAATATGTACATGCAGTATGAATACTCATTGTTTCTGGACATGATCAGCGCGAAGGCAGTGCTGTAGCTGTGCTAGAGAGCGTGGGGAGCAAGGGATCAGTGCAGGTAAATGGGACTGTTGTCAGTAAGAGTGCTAGTTGTGTGCTTAACTCGGGTGATGAGGTGGTCTTTGGCTTGTTGGGGAACCACGCTTATGTATCCTTTCTATTTGCTTGGAGGTGCTTTTTTTACTGTTCTTCTAATTCTTATTGGGAATTTCTTTGTGCCTGTATCTGTTTCCCGATTAATTTATCATCTTTAGTTTTTTGGATCCTGTGTTTATACTCCTTTTTGTATTTTCCTTAGTTTTATTTGGTTTAGATATTTCATCAACTAGTAACAGACGTTTCTGTTAAGGGTGCGGAGATTCATAATAGTTTAGGGAAATATATGCAACTAGAGAGGAGGACTGGGGATCCTTCAGCAGTAGCTGGAGCCTCCATATTGGCATCTCTTTCAAGCCTGGGGCATGATTTGGCGCGGTGGAAGTTACCATCCCAGAGCACCAGTAAAATCAACCAGGCCACTGAGGTACCTACTAATTCTGCTGTTCAAAACGGCATGGAGATCGGAGCTGATGGAACTGATGGCAATTCTGCTGCAAACATTGGGAGTGATAAAGCTGCAGATAGCGGAGCAACCAACAAGAATCTGCAACTTGACAACAATCAGGACCCTGGCATAGAGGCAGGCAATGTAAAACTCTCTGGGGTGAATGATTTGCTAAGGCCTTTCTTGAGGATGTTTGCTCCATCAACTAGTTGTAATCTGAAATTGAGCAAAAGTATCTGTAAACAGGTATTTGACGAAAGAATTGAGCGGACAAGAGATTCACAGCCACCATCAACATCGGGTATGCCTTCACGGTGTACAGTGTTCAGGGAAGAGATTCGTGGTGGGATTCTTGATGGCAGAGACCTAGAAGTTTCATTTGATAACTTTCCATATTATTTGAGGTATGCTTCAGAGACATTTTTATGATTTTGATATCTTATTTAATTTTCTTCTCTGAGGAAGGTGGGTGGGGCCAGATATACTATTGAGAAGCTTAAAATAGTGTGATTCAGTTTAAAGTATGAGGGTGGGGAAGATGGACTTGGACTGTGGGACTTAAATTTCAATTGATGGAGATGGTAGAGAAGAGAAAGTCAATACGTGGTGCATGGTCAAGGGCAGAGCTGGCACATTCATCACCTGCACTAAACTTGTGCCATTATCTTCCTAGATCTACTGTTGGAACTTTGAATTTTAGGGAGAAGCTAATGTCTAAGATTTAAGACTTTTAACAATTCAGGTGGCTTTTAACAATTAACGGAAGATTTAAGACGTGCAAGCTCATAGGAAATTTATGTTTAACTGGTGGGAACGTGGCTTAAGGAGTCATAAGGCCTTGACTACATTGCCAATAGCTAGGAAAAATCATCAACTAGTTTGTTTTTCTTAGAAATGCATTTTTTTGGAGTAGTTCTTAGGATGGCATTTGAGAAGACAAGTTGAAGTATTCTTTATTAAGAGTGCTTTAGCTATCTATTGAGAGCTTAAAAGATATTATGCGAGCGTCAAGAGTAACATGTGTGCCTTTGCATTATTTTTTCACGAAGTGAGTGAGGAATACTGAGTAAAAACTAAGTGTTGAATTCGTGTTCCCTTTAAAAATTTATTCAGTTGAAACTTAATTAGCTACATGCATGGAATTTGTATGGTTGTCACCTATAATTTATTATGAAGAAATATATTGATCAATCTGTCATGTAGTGTTTCTTCTGTACTAGAAGACTGACTCTCTAATCATTAAATTGACTCATCTATCCGAGAGCTGAAATGTCCACTCAAATGTGAACCTGTGATTTTTCTTCAAATCCATTTTGGCTTGTAATGTTATGGCTTTGATTGCATTTTGCAAATAATTATGTTCCACTAACCAAAAATATTTCTACGAGGCAAACATTTTGAGGCAACTTGACATGGCAGCTGCTGAAAAGGCATCCAGCAGTTGAAAATGTCCTTTGCATGTGAAGTTAATAATTATCTACTCAAAATACTAAAAAGATGTTCTGATAGAAATTCCAATTACTTTTTCTATCATTTCGGTCTGACATACATCTTTTCAAAGACAAAGAAAGAACTATAAACAAGGAAGCAAAGGGTTGCTGCCCACCTACAAAAATATCATGTCAGTTTATTGTTTACTGGTATTGTAGGATATATTTTCATTTAGTATATAGAGCAGTCATTGGAATTTGTCTGATGTTTTCCCACCCTTGAAAGTCCCCTGAAAAATGCGAGCACTATTTTTGACACTGCTAGAAATCTTTTTCATATGCTGTGCACTAATCATGTGTAACTTGTGGACTTTTGCTTTTCCTCCTGCAGTGAGCATACAAAAAATGTACTCATTGCCTCTTCATATATACATTTGAAGCACAAAGAACTTGTCAATTATGCTTCGGATTTAGCTGCTATTAATCCCCGTATTTTGCTTTCTGGTCCAGCAGGTTAGTGGAAAAGCTTTATTTCATCTGTATGTTTTAGTTGTAATACTTCTTCATAAAAAATTGCATGTATTGGTTGCTTAATAAATTCTTGTTCAGCAGGACATATGCAAAGTTAAGCTCTTTCAACTGAACGTTTTTGTAGGGTCTGAAATATACCAGGAGATGTTGGCAAAAGCTCTTGCTAATCATTTTGGAGCTAAATTGCTCATATTTGACAGCCATTCATTTTTGGGTGTAAGATCTACTTGGGCTTTAATGTGAATTTAATCTTAAGATTAGATTTTTATTGCATTAATTGGATCTGTAATTAATTTAATTGTAAACTTCTTTAAAAAAGGAGATTCTCATTCTGGTTACTAGATTGCTGGCATTGGTATTGTAGTTATTGATTATCTAATTGGTTGGTTGCAGGGTTTATCTTCAAAAGAAGCTGAACTGCTGAAGGATGGGCATAATCTAGACAAGTCATATAACCGCATAAGACAGGAATATTTGGCAAAATTTGCGGATCGGTTAGTAGGTGAAGGGGAAATACCTAGCTCTTCAGTAGTTCCATGTTCTGGTTCAGAATCTCAACCAAAGATGGAGACTGATCCTGCACCCTCTTTGTTGGGGTTACATAAGTTTCACATGTTCAAGATAGGTATGCTACTAGAATCTGTTGCAAGGAAAATATTTTTTTTGATTTGTTATGTTTTTTAAGTTTTTTGGTTTTCTTTTTGGGGTTCAATTAAGTGAAATTTTTTTAATTATTCTACATGCAGGTGACAGAGTAAAATTTATGGGTTCTTCTGGTAGCTTGTATCCAACGACATCTCCTCAAAGGTATGATACGGAATAGGTGACTTGGACCCTTTTTTTGTTTTTTCTTTTTGCTTATGTGATTATTGGTCAAACAGCTCATACAATTTTTATGTTAATATTCTGTGCAAAAAACCCTGTTTTCACATATTTGGGTTCGTATTTAGGATGCAAGATATTGCATTTTACCCTTGTATTCTCATGACCTGAGTGTGGAAGAGAAGCCATTTTTATTTTTTCATTATTATCAAGTTTATTGAATGATAAATTGAAACGTATTGATGCTTTGTAAATAAAATATACTTGGCATTAGCTCTATGATCTATTATTACCTAAGGGTGTCTGATGTGGAAGATAGAATTTGGTGTTCATTCTTTTTATTTAATCTGTGATCATAATTCATTTTTTAATGTTTTGATTAGAAATGAAATGGAAATAATTTACCTTGTCCTGTTACTAGTTTTAGGAAGATCATCAATCTAATTTCAGTTGTCTTTAGATACTTGACAAGCAGGATGATATCAATTACTGACAAATTTTAGCTACTTCAATGGTTTTTCGAGATTTAACTTCTAAAAAGTATTTATCTGAAGTGGTATTGGAGGGTTGATCTACAGTATAAGGGCTTGATAGCACATGTTTAAGGCTCTCCAGAGGTAGTGTACTATTGTTTTGGGATGGTAAAGTCAGTGGGAAAAAATCATGTAACCAACAGCTTGCAATTAATACTTTTTATTGGAAAGAATATTGCAGTTGTTCATTGATAGTCTGCAAAGATTGATGTTTCGGCATATGTACTTGAAAGAGAATCCAGGATAAAGACCGATGATGTACTCAATTTGATATCTTTGTTGGATACATTAAATTAACATCCTGATACAAAAATCTGGACCCTGGAGCCCTCAAGATTATATATTTGTAAATCCTTGTTTGATCACCTCATTAAAGACCAAACATGTCTTCCATTACTTATTGCCAAGGAATTTTGTAAAGCTCCAATTCCCTCAAAGGTAAAGGTATTTGATATGTTGCTACTCATCAAAGGCTCAATACTAACAAGGTATTTGATAGATTCCCCCAAATCCGTCGGCTCAATTGAGCTTTGTGTCGAAATTATGTTTGATAAAGATGACAAAACTCATTCTCATTTGTTCCTTTATTACGAGATAGCATGGAAGACGCGGACTAGGTGTTTGCGATGTTTGGTTTTTGTTGGGTTGTTCCTCCTACGGTGAATGGTCTAATACGAACTACTTTTTCAGGGGAGGGAGTCCGGAAGAGGGCTAAACCCATTTGGCAGGGGCCATGTTTACTGGCTTTTGGATTCTTTGGATTGAGCACAACCGGAGAACTTTTGATGAGCGCTATTCGTTGCTTCAAAACAAATTGACTTTTCTGGCAACTTATGGGCCAAAGGTCATGGGAGTTATTCTAACCATACTCTTAATGAGTTCCATTGGAACTGGGAGGCAGTCATTTATCTTCCCACAGGATGTCCCTCTTTCTGTTGTCTTTATTGTTTCTTCGAGTGTTACAGTTTGAGGAGGATGTCTTATTCTCCTATGATTATATTTCTCTTTCTTTTTCTTAATAATACTTCTTTCTTTGAAGAATCAAAGATAAAGAGAGCAGGACTTCTCGAAAAATAAGGTCTTTCATTGTAAACGTTGGAGTTTTGATGGGAGGAAATTTAGATTATTTGCCTGTGTAAGGAAGCAGCATCCACCAAGATCTTGAACCTTCTGGAAACATAATCAAGGCAAAAACTTTTCTGGAGCCTGAATGTAGCCCGAACTCTAAGTCACTGGAAAAAAATATTGTGAATCTGCTTCACCTTTGTGGTGATTGGCACTGCATCTGAAGTTGACATTTCTGATGTTGCAGAATACAAAATTTGGCAGCCAGTGCCAGAAGCATATAATGAATTGATATGATTTAACTGATGGTGCTTCTAAAAAGAGGATTTAACTAGTGGTGATTGTGTTGTAAAATGGAGATGTAGAGAGAAAGAGGGTCCATCGAGAGTAAGCAGGTGATATATGTTATTACCACTCTTGGTACATTGTTACAGAATCTTCTGCTTTTTGAAGATGCAGCGTATAAAGGGATGGGATCGATATTTATGAGGACCGTTGGGCTGGGCTGGTTCATATGGATTGAAGACGTTGTGAAACTGTCTATAGTATGCTTTTTAAGATATGGATACATGGTGATCCATCCCTAGTAGCATCTTGACAAGTATATGAATGCATGCAGGCATGATTGTCCATTTCCATTTCTGTTTTTTTCCCTTCCCTATACCTCTTTGGTTTTTAGAATTAAAAGACCACAACAAAACTAGGCTCCAAAGAGGTGCTCTCCACATACAGAAATGCCCATATTTTTTCCCGACTGGTGAATTTTGCTTCATTATATTAATGCATTTTGTAGATACATGTGCTTGTATGCTCTAATAAGTTTAATACACACTTGCAAGTACACGTGTGTATATAATATTTCCCTTAGATGTTTGTTGCATGTTGGCATAATATGATGTTCCTGTATGGTCCTGCTTTAAGTCTATGTTACTTTAATCTACAGGGGGCCTCTTTATGGGATTCGCGGTAATGTTATATTACTTTTTGAGGATAATCCTTTATCAAAAGTTGGGGTAAAATTTGATAGACCTGTACCCGATGGAGTTGACCTTGGTGGTCTTTGTGAGGAAGGTTATGGCTTCTTTTGCAATGGTAATGTTGTCATTTGCTAAGCATTTATTTCCTAAATACTTGTCTTTGAATCCGTCTTTCTTCCATGATTGAATCTCTCTCTCTCTTCCTCTCTCTAGTTACTGATCTTCAGCTTGAAAACACAACCGCTGAAGACTTGGACAAATTACTTGTTAACACATTGTTTGAGGTACTGATTCTTTTGGTATAAGAATAAGTGGATGTTTATTCTTGCTTATTTTTCATTGGTTTAGTAATTCAATTTTATTTTTCCATCAGGTTGTATATACTGAGAGCAGAAGTTCCCCTTTCATTTTATTTTTGAAAGATGCTGAGAAGTCTATTATAGATTCACAGTCCACTTTCAAGAGTAGACTTGATAAGCTTCCTGATAACATTGTTGTGATTGGTTCACATACTCATATTGACAATCGAAAGGAGAAGGTAGTTTGACCTCAAGGACCTTATTCTTTCTGTCTCTCTCTCTTTCTGCACACACACACACACACACACACACACACACACACATATATATATATAGATGTGTCTTTTGTATTTGCCTTCTCATTGTACTAAAATAAGCTGATTTGAAGATATGAAATATTTTGTAGATTCTTAAATTCCAATGAAAACCATGTGGTAAGAAAGGAAAAAAAAAAGAGATATTTGTCTGTATGATGTTATAAGTTGCTTTTAGGAATAAAACAAATTGATTTGTTTTTTGTATTCATATGCTCTCACATTTATAAATGAATTACAATGTGTGATACTCTTAGTCAGTTCTGATTTCGGAAACTTGTAATGGGCAGAGATAAGCCCATTATGATTGGAACTCAAGTATACTGTTTTTTTTTCGACCGGAAATATTTGTTAGGTTCATTCTTCTCAAAAAAAAAAAAAAAAGAAATTGTGTTAGGCTCTTTATACTCTAATTTCCTAGTATTAGCTTTCAATATCCTCTTATGTTTTTGATTTTGATGGTATATTTCCTGCTTGGGAAGGATTGCTGAAAGAATTTACTGAAGACTAAATAATATCTTTTGGTGGCCAAAGTAATTGACAATGAGAGAATGTACTGCAAACTGTGTAAGCTATTTTCAGATTTAGGATTGATAATCAATAAAAAGAATGCACTCCAACACAACCTTAATTAAGTCTGGATATTTGTCACCATATATTTTATGTCATCATCACTTTGGAGGGACGATAAAAAAAGTAAGCCTAAATCTTAAACACTAGCTTGGCTATATGATTTTTTTTTCCTTTAATTTTGAAATTCATTTTGAAACTTTAGTGATATGTTTCATGATGAAAAATTGATTATAATCTTATTTCATCAAGTGAAAAAATCATTTTATTGTCTTTCCCTCTAAATTAATGCCTTTAGCCAGGTATACCTTTGTCAAAATTAATTAGTATCTAGCTTATCTCAATTTTCCTTTTGCAGTCACACCCTGGTGGTTTGCTTTTCACTAAATTCGGCAGCAATCAGACAGCTCTTCTTGACTTGGCTTTTCCGGTAATATAGCACTCCTCTCCCCCTTCGATTTAATGTCTCAGAAAATAATGAGAATGGATGGCGGATTCTACGGTAAAAGGGTTAAATTTTCACCATTTTTTCTCAGCGGTTCAATTATTTTCTTTTTAGGCTTTGGAATAATACTTACAGACAAGGCTAAAACTCTTCCGAGTTTACCATATTTTTTGGGCATAGAGATTTATTGAGGCATCTCCTTAGATTTGACTTGTGATTTAATAATGGATGATCAATTGATTTCCTTAATATTTTTCGCATGTGACAAGTTTCTTGACCACTCATTGCTTGAAGAGAAAAGTTCCTATTTCCTGGTTTTTTCATTGGATTTTTTTTTATGGGACTGGTTCTTTTCACAATTTGAATTTTACCTTTAATTTACGTGTCAATATGTCAAATAATGCTGATGAGGAGTGCATCTAAAAGCAGTAGATTATTTATTTTGGAGCATATATGTAAGACTTTATTATTTTAAGCAGTTTTCTTGATCAATACATAACATTATCCTAATATGCTGATGAGTAGTGCATAAAATTGAAACATTTTGACATTGTTTTCACCATGGTAATATCGGATTTGGGATTTGATTGTTCTTTTGCTATTTTTTTCTTGATTGAATTCATGCTTTATATTTTTGGCTTTGTAAAGTGATGATATAGCAACACATCAAACACAAAATTTCCAGGATTTGTTCTTCTGGTTTCAGTGAGCCTCTTTTTACATTTCTTGCTCCTTATTCCCTCCCCCCATCCCCTGTCTCTCTTATTGCCATAGCAGAGGTGTGTGTACTTTTTCAAGTTGTGGTTTTTCAAATGACTGAAGCTCTCCTTTTTATGTTGTCAGGATAGTTTTGGAAGGCTGCATGACAGGGGAAAGGAAGTTCCAAAAGCAACAAAACTTCTAACTAAGCTTTTCCCAAATAAAGTAACCATTCACATGCCACAGGTTTGTATGGTGTTACTAAACAGGGTTATGGTGTTACTAAACAGGGTGTGGGTTTATCACATGTGTCTATCTTGTAAAATCATGAAATTTTAAAAGGAAGATGCTAATCATTCTAGGATGAGGCACTTCTTGCATCGTGGAAACATCAGTTGGATCGAGATGCTGAAACATTGAAAATGAAGGGAAATCTGAATCTCCTACGTACTGTGAGTTTTCTTCCCCCTTGCAGATTAACTATGAAGTACTATTTGTAATTTTTTGTCAACCCTGTAGATCTGGTCATATTTCTTTGGCTTTAATTTTTTGGTTAAAAATATTCTTCCCCCTTTGTTTGGTTACTGATAGTATGGATTCATGCTCTACACTTTGGCTTTACTGAGCACACTTTTTCCAATTGGGGAGAGCTGTTAGACATCATATCTCAGAATTGTATGTCCACCCTGTAGTTTTTGCGCTTTAGTGCCATCCCCTTTATGGCTAATGGATAATACTTTTTTCTTCTATCAAATAAGAAATTTCACCTTTGCTTTGTTGAAGAGAAGGCTTGTATCACAGAGAGAGTGCGAGGGTGATAGAGACAGAGAGAGAGAATAAATGCGACTGCTGACAACTTAGTTGGCAGCTATTGGCCGGCTACTGGAGCCATTATGATGCCCTGGAATGGTAGAAATTTCCTTATTGTTGACAACACGTCGTTCGACCTGTTGTGCGAAGGTAGGAGGATGGATGAGATGAAAATTTGTGAGAATAGTAAGGGATTTCTAGTGTCGATTTTGCTTGTGAAGAAGGAAGTAAATTGATTTCTCAATGCATTAGAAGAGTTCTATTGGAATAAGGGGGTGTTCCATGGGCTAAACACTATATGGGTTGGAATCGTGAGCTGTGGATATCCTTTGGAACCAATAGAAGAGGAATGTATTCAGTTTTATCGGAATTATGGGAAAAGAAAGCGAGGCAGATATTCATATCGGAGGGTTGTCAAGGGAGAGGATGGTGGCTATCCATGGTGGCGGCATTTGAGGTTGCTGAAAGACAGGTTGTTAACCCTGAGAGTAGAGGAAAAGTGGAAAGGATGGTGAGAGAAGTAAACTGAGTGGAAAAGGGCCAGGAAAGACCGTGGAAGGCCTCATTTAACTGCTCGCATTGTGCAATAGCCATCCATTTCTCGATGGAGGTTGGCGGGGGCCGTACCTACGCGGCAGTGCTCAACTTCAAAGGGAAGCCTAGAAATCGGGTAGGGCAGAGATGGAACATAAAGGAATTGGGTTGTACCTATGCGACAATGCTCAACTCCAAAGGGAAGCCTAGAAATCGGGTAGTGCAGAGATGGAACATAAAGGAATTGGGTTGAATTGGGTAAAAGGCCCGACCCGAAAGAAAGAGGACATGGAT